ATTTTTAAGGTAGTATCCAGCAGTGGGGGAAATGCTGATCCTGAACAAAGCCTTTGGGCTTCTTTCTAGTCAGAGTAGTGCTGCCTTTCCTCTTTTGATGTCTTACGAAGAGCTTGGAAAGAAGAGACTTGTTTGCTACTGATTAAAATCAGTAGCTAACTTTAGTTCCTGACTAATCTGCTCTCTGCTGACTCTTCTCCTTTATCTGGTGTTGCTGATTCCTTAACTTACAGGGATACAAGTACACATTTAAAAACCTTAATACTGTAGCATAATATTTCAGTTAACATTAAAAAAAGGGGGTGGGGGGGCAGGGGAGGAGGGAAATCAATTCTGCTCAGTTTCTTTTGAGATAGCAGTAGAATTCAAGACTTGGCTTGACAGGACTATAAACCAAGGCTCTGCTTTCACCAGGCAACTAGACCAGCTGATAATCAGAGGTCTTTCCTGACCTGTAATTTTCTGAGTCTGACCACTGAGTCAGCTATCTGTCTAGATAGCACATTTTATCTAAGTACCCCTAATTCATTTAGAACTATAAGTGTCATAGTAGTCTTGAGATATAGATCTTAAACTGGCTTGATTTAAGTGATGTGATCAGCAGTGTAAGACCATAACAAAACACCCTCTAGCTGTCAGACCTCATCTTCCCCTTTAGAGATTAAACTGTACGTCATTGACAGTTGGATACCGAAGGACAATTTGAAATATGTTTATTTTAACCTGGGGAATGGCTGGTTTGAAATGAGTAAGGGAGATGATTAAAAAGTAAGGGTTATCTCTGTAGTATCATCTAACAGTAACTTTATATGTGAGATTAATTTGTCTGATTCCTTTAGATAAGCATATATTAATGCCCAGTTATACAGTGGCTAGAAGCAGCATAATTTTGGCACTGACAAATGTAAAAAAATTTTAAAATCAAACTTAAGGAAAACTTGCAAATTTAGTACTTGATAAGTAGCAGCAGATGATGCTTTGCATTAGATTAATATTAATTGTTGGGCAGATATTGTTAGATAAAACATTAGTAACGCAAGTGTACAGGCTTAATATAGCAGAAAATGTAATTATAATTTTACTTGTTCTGTTAATCTTGTACTAGGTACTTTTAGTTTTGAATTGGGAAAACAAAGTAGAAGGTGGATTTGAGGTGTTAATGAGTTTCAGGCCTGGATAATTTATTATTCAGAAACTTTAAGGAATGGATAGATACTTATTTGTAAAATTGAAGTATTTTCTCCACAGAGAGAAATTTTATTTAGAACACCTGGCACTTTGCAGTGAGTTAATGAACATCTTGTAACATTTATCTTTGGAAATTGTCTAGTCTACTACTTCTTTGCAGTTGTTTAGTAGACTTTCAATTTCTGTGCTTATGCCCAGTTGTATATGTTATGATGCTTCATAGAGTTCGTATTTTAGAGGAAGAAAACTTTATCTCTTATTTTTCATGAACTTCGCTAGGAGTTCTTTGCTTTCTGCCTGGAAGGGGAGTATGGTTCACATTTATGTAGTCCTCTAGAACGTGTATTTTAGAGAATCTAACAAATACTCAGTAAAACTTTCAAAAGTCATTTTTTTTGCTCTCGGTGTTGGACTGTTTCTTATCTCTGATAAGAGGTTAATTTTGATCAGCTATGAGACAAAAGCAAACTTCAAGTTGTAGTCACTGATTAAGAAAAGTGGAATCTCAGTAGCAGATCCATTACTGAATATGAGAATATAATAGGAGAACAGTTGTGTTCCTGATAGGTGTGCGTGTTGGCTGCTAACTGTAGCAGGCACACTGAGGTGGGCCTAGAAATATGAGAGTGCTGATGTAACTGTTTAACAGGTATTCTGTCCCTGGTAGATTCTCATGTGCTTTGAAGGAATTACTTAGCTTCTTTGTAACAAACTATTTTATTATTGTAGTAGTCAGAAGTGATTTTAAGCATTATGGGTCTGATCTGCTGTAGTGGTCTTTGCTGACAAACTTTTGGCTGTTTGTTTTTCAGAATTTCTTTTCCACCCTTAGCTTCAAGTTCACCTCTCCTTTTTTCTGCTTCTTTTCAGGGTGAAAGTGCCACTTGCATATGATTTTATAATAAATTGTGTTGTACTCCAGGAGAGGGTTTTCTAGTGGAAGCTAGCTGAAATTGGAAATGCCTTGTTTCTTTCCAATCAGATCTTCTAACTGTAAACACCCTGTTGGGATACCTCATTAAACCCACCCTACTGTAGCAACTTACTAAGTGGTTTTATGTTACGGTTTTCAGAAAGTAATTTTTTTCAAATGTACTGCAACTTTGCACATATGGTTTTATGGAAAATGTTAATATGAGTGATAGAGGTGACTCACTGCAGAGTCAATGCGATTTAAGAATTATAAAGAAATTTGCTGATAGAATATAGATGTATCATCTATATTTGTGATTTAAGGGGTAATACTGAACTGCATTGCATTAACAGCAAAACAGAGTTAGAACTGCCATAGACTTGCTAAATTGTCACTTTGTACTAGATCATAGCCAGTGGAAGAGATTGGCTTTCTCAAGATGATATAAAAGCTGGAATTTCTTTTGTGGGAGCTTATAAATAAATGGAGACTGGCTTGACTCCAGAGAAATGTTTAGCTCATCAAGAAGTTTCCATAGGAATTTAAATCAAGTATTTCGTGGTTATGAAGCTGATAGAAACATTAAAAAAGTTCATAAAGAAGCACCATTCAAAAATGTTTTTCCTAATTCATAATGTTATGTCTTGAGATGAGATGTGTGCATATGTATGTGCCTTTGGCATCACAAACATTTGTTTTGAAACATGTAATGAAATTAGAAAGCTTGTAGAGAGCTCCTGGGATTAAGACGACCACGTGTCTTCTAGGTAGACTGTATCCCTGAGAATGTGGATTGTGTAAAATGATGATGAGCAATGTTTGAGGAGAAACATCTATAAGCACACTTGCACTCATCATCCTTATGATAGAGAAATGGGCAAGGGGTGTAAAAAGGAACATGGTTTATTAGGAGTTGTAACCTTTTCTTTCTGTAAGCCGTGCTGTAACACCCACCCCTAACCCCCCCTGGGGATTTAGCTGCCTGCATCCCAAGGGTCCAGGGCTCTGGGTTATGGGTTATGCCCATCTGTGTGACCTTGGCTCACACTGCTGAGAAGGAGCTGTGAGAAAGTCTGCAGAAAAACAAGAACAGTAAAGGTAGCATTGTTGGGACAGGATCGCTAGTAGATTCCACAGTGTGGAAGATACAAAATCCTAAACTGGAAAAACAGGGAATCCAGGTTGGGGCAGAAGTTGGGTTATCAAGTCAAGTTGTTAGTGCTGATGAAGCTGGTGCAAAATGGTGGCTCAGCAAAGTTCAAGGATCTGTCTCAGGGAGCCACAAAGGCTGACCCTTCCCAGCTGCCTGCCTGGCTAGCAAGGACTCTTCAGGTGCTTTATCAGGGGTGACAAACATATTAATGTTTAGCCAGTATTATAAGTGTTGCATCCTCATCTTTGTGCATTAACCATTAATTTTTTACATGTTTAAGTTTGTCCATCGTGCCTACAGCTTTTCTTTGCCCCCAGCTAAGTATGCCAGACCATAGTGACTCAAAAAAGGGGTGGTAAAAGAATAATTGAAGAGAGATTTTGATATTAATTGTAAATCCCCTTGTCCTGTCTCTTCCCCCCAAAAATAATTAAAATTCAGTGAGTTAAGGGGTACATCATGTACCTACCTCTGGCACTAGGGGTTTATTTTGAAAGTGTAACAAGAGTGCTGTGTTAGGCTTGTTCCAGTCCTCAGAGAAATCTTCTTCAATGAGTGGTATTTTAAACTCAGGTTGGTGCTTGAGCAGTCATGGTGTGGGACTTCCTCAGTGCAACAGAGCATCAGCTGTCAATCTGTCAAGTCACCTTGGGCCTGTAACTTCTGTGGTGTGACCAAAATGTGCTCGCTACATCTACCCTATTCAGTAAATCGGAGCCTGTTGACATGGAATACCTGCACTCCATGCAGCCTGGATGAAAATCTCTTTGCTCTGGCTTCTGGCTGTTTTAAGTGTACTAAATGGCTTCTTGATTTACTTTGGGTTTGTACAGAGATGGCTTCTAGTCAGTTATCTACTTAATCTCTACTGTTATTTCAAGGCAATTCTGCTATCCTTTCTGAAGTGTTATAAGTACTCTTGAGAAGGGTTACCATTCAATATTCGATCTTAGCGATCCAAGTCTTTACGACTGTTTCCTAGAGAAATACTTGGATGCATTGCCACAGCATGCCTGCTGTGTTGTTGTCTTCCTTACGCATCCCAAAGGGAAAGTACTGGGTGAGAAGATTCTTTGGGTTGGCTCGGTATAGCCATTCATAACTAAATGAGGTACGTTGAAGATAAATAAAATATGGTGGCCACTGATGGTGGATACTGTAATTCTTTGGAGGGACATGCAGCTTTCATACCAACATTGATGAGGATAGGATTTTGCTCTTTCTCAGACACTGGAAGGGGGTTACCAACATAAACAAAGCTCCTAAATCATGCCTAGATCATAGATTGAAACTGATGAGGCTTGGAAACACACAATGGTTCCTTCCCTTTATTCTCCCTTCCCTATTTATTTAGTTCTTACCCTTTTCTACAATAAGAAAATATATTTGGTTTTGTTACCCTGTTTTCTTATTTTTATCCCATACAGCGTGGACTTAAGACTTGTCTCTGTGTAAGATACCCAGCCACCCACAGAAATCCTTGGGACTTTCAAAGGGGTTCAAAATTACCGGTATGCACATGCATTACATTGCAGGGCTGGAACCTGACTTTGAAAGGAATATATCAGAGTGTAATAGAAGTTAAACATGAAAGGAAGAATGATTTAGGCTTTTTCTTGAGTGATGAGTGATTTGTGATTAGTTGCGTGCTTCTTTTTAAAGAGACTGTTGAAGTAGTATTACCACCTATTAAAATGAATGTGCCAGCTTTAAATTTATAATCAATTATCCTTTTACTTTTTATAGTTGTCTTTTCTGAGGAAGAGAGAGAGCAGTTGAGAAAGTTCACAAATAAATCATATCTTCTGGATAAAAGAAGTCGTCATCATATATATCTTGGTTTAATTGATATCCTTCTTGCGTATTGCTATGAAATATGCATCAATGAAGGAGACAAGAATGTAAGTTAAAAAAATAGAAATTTATTATGTTTTAGCAACATAGTGCTGGACCCTGTACTCTCGTTTAGGAAACTTACCTTTTAAAGTGAACTTACTTCCAAGCATTAAAACTATATAATTGAGTAAGTTAAAATGAAATACTTTATATCGCTAGATTGAGCTGTTGGGATGCATATGATGATTAATATGATTTTTAAATACTTCTGTTCCTCTGGAGCAGCATTTTAGCTGTAGGAAAGAAGTGGAATTGCATGAGATTCCACACAATTCTGTTTGTTTCTGATTTGTTTCTTTCTGATTTGTTTCACGTTGTGATGTATCTTGATTTATGTAAATGCAGATTTCACAAAGTAATTGTTCTTTTATATTGATGGTTCTTCCTTCTGGTTTTGGGACAGTTCTGTAATAGATATGTTTGTCTGTAATAACACCAATACTGATTTGGATTCTAAAAAAACATGGGAAATCATTAAGTCTGTAGGACTTAAACTATGTGGTTAGTATTTTATATAGGCTACCATTACATGCCTTTGACAAAACTGATTTTTTTAATGGGGCTTTTTGTGCTGGTTTTTTGTTTGTTTGGTTTTTTTTAAACATATGCACTCCGTAGGGATGGTGTTTCCTGAGGTATTCTAGAAACTGGAGTGAGGCATTTGAAATTTTTGAAATTGACACACATGTAAAAACCAAAAAAATCCTAATACAGAGTTTTCTTTTTCTAGTGTTTAAACATTGGAGGGAAGTAGGAAGACATGTTTCCGTTTTTAGGATTCTGGTTTTTGCCTGTCTTTTACACAAGCAGCAGCCAGCTTTATTTTATGTTCTGTATACTAGACTTTTTACAGAATATAAAGAATTAAGAAAATAGCAAAAGTTTAGAATGGAATCCATGCTGTTCTGTGAATAGCTTGCCTTTTTGAAATGGACTTGCTTCCCAGATACAACTTTGTGTCTAACATCTCCTCTGTTGATATTAAGCAATGAGATGTTTTCTAAATGTTTTTAATCAAAATGTTGGAACGTACAATCAAAACCATTCTGTCTTAATCAGACTGAATTGTGGGGCATGGATTTTAGAATGGCAGACAGAAATTTCCAAGCTTATTCAACAGAACAATCTAGGATGGTTGTCACATTTGCGTGTTGATGTTGCACAAAATTGCAAATATGCAGGGAACACAGTTGTACAATTCTTTATTGATCTTAGCAATAACCGTATGGTATATGTGAAAACACATGGTAGGGTAGTTTTTTTCCCTCTTTTTTTTTTTTTTATTTTTTTATTTTTTTCCCCTTTTAATGGAAAAACCAAGAAATTCAGGCCTCACAAATCTTTACTAGAGCCCAGATTATAGATCAAGTCTTCCTGTTTTTTTTTCCTAATCATACTACTAGACCACACTGCCACACAAATACATGAATCTGTCACATTTTAAGAATAATGACATTTTACATGTACTGCTGGCTTTAGGACCCTCCCTGAAAGCCAAAAGTCTTGAGCTGCTTTCATGAAACGAGGCATTTTAGCTTGAGCTTCGAATCAGGTTTCTGTTGCTTGGTGAAAAGGGACAGAATTCCACTAAAATACTGTTTTTCTGTGATTGCTGTTGGATTTTAAAGGCTTTGTTCATGGGCTAGACATTCCCAATATGGAAACAAATTCAGTTATTTAACATCTGCGTTGCAATATAATTTTTAATGCTGTCCTGTGGCCATTTCAATGCACATAATGTAATTACTGCTTCGTATTCACAAAGGTTCTTAAATTGCTGCCAGAATGTTATCTTAAATAGTTTGCCAGCAGTCTTTAATATTGAATTAGATAATGCCTGTTTTACGGTCTCCTCTTAAAATCAGGTTGAATCATCTTGGAATGTCAGGAAACTAAGTGCAACATTGTGCTGGCTGGAGGTAAGTTAAAACTTCAGTTTTTCATTATGTGTTTACTGTATAATTTGTTTTTGGTATTGTATATTGCTTTTATGGAAAGCTTACTCTTTCTGTATTGAAGATGAACTAAGTGTTTGTCCTCTTTTTAAGAAATGCTACAAGAAATTGAGCTGCCAGCTACTAGTAGCCTCAAGAGGTTGGAGTATGACCTCTCATCTGGCTGGGTGCTGGGCTGCCTTCTGGCCCGTTCTGGAAAAGCTAAGGATAGGCATTGTGGCAAATCCACTTCTCTACACGCTGTCCCTAGCTTCTGGGCTTGATTCACATGTCCTGACCTTTATTTAGGAAGTAACTGTAATTATTCCTCAAGTATGTCCACAGTATGTGTGTGCAACTCCATGCTTAGGGCAGGAAAATACAATCTTCTAGCTCGTTGATCAGCAGTTGTAGATACCTTCCCATTTCACTGTCTAAAGCATGTTAAAATAGAAAGGGCGTAAAAAGTAGGGAATGTAATCTCTTGGTGTTCCTGTGTTCTTTAAGTCCTGCCTCAGATACATGTTCTAATAACTTGTGAAGATGGCAGGCCTTAATAAAGCAGCTTATTGTTCACTTTTTGGGGTTTTGACTGCTGAGCACTTTGAGAACTTCAGCCTTCCTAGTTCATCATTTTGCACTCCTAGCTTGCTCTTTTTCTTGGCTGAAAATCTAGTGGCTTCTGGCTTCTCCATTGTGCTTTGTGGCTTCAGACTACTCTGGAGGGTGGAACTGGGAAGCCCAGAGGTAAATGCAAACCCAATTATAGGAAGAGTTCTAAGAACTCAATCAAAAGGTAGTTTTTAGTTGTGTTTTTTTTTTGTTTTGGTTTTTTGTTTGTTTGTTTGTTTTTTTTTTTTTTTTTTTTTTTTTTTTTTTTAAATCTATCACAGAGAAGCTGAATTTCATATTCTTTTAGCAAAGAGACCTCTGTTCTGTAGTTGTAGAACTGTTGTCTCATTAAGGCTTTAATGATTGTGTGATCTTTCAGACACATGCCAAATACTTTTGTTTTGGATTTCTTGTAGAGTTTGTTAGTGGATGCGGGTTGCTTTACCCGACCCCTTCTTTTCAGCATTATTGCCACATCCCTATTTGTTTAGTTGCTGCTAACCCTTTGAAACCAGCATAGAGTAGAGGAAACAAACTGAATTCCGTTCTTTGCACTTTCAGATTGTTTACTGAAGGCACACAGGTCTATGCAATTAGGTTGTTACAGAGCTGGAAGTGGAAGGGACTTAACCTGGCCTCTGATCGTTTATTTCCTATGATGGCAGCAAGCTAGAAAGGACTGTTCCATCCTCATTTCTGAAATTACTGAGCTAAGTCTCAGTTTGCGGGATCAAAAATGAAATATGACATGATTTTTTGGGTTCACTCCTTCAAACGTTTCTCGTACTGGCGAACGTTATATTCAGTAATAACTTGTGCTATGACAACTGGTTTTCTAGATGTTAGTTTTAAGTTGTTTCCAATTGAATGTTCTGCAGTAGCAAGTCACAAAAGAGTGCAGCTAAAATACAGTGATTGCCTTGGGTCTGAAAAAAATTCAAGAGTTAGGTCCTAACATAGTGAAGGAGTTTTCTGCATGTGCTTATCCTATAATATAGCAGTTCTTGGCGCAGCCTGTGCCAACAGTATATTTCACACCCAGAAAATTCAGTCTCCTGGCACCAAGCTGTTAATAACTATATCTGTTATACAAACCATGTAGAGGCGGGTGTTTTCATCAATCTGTAAACAAAATTGCCTCAGCTATGGTTTGTTTGAACTGACTGCCATTTTGCTGTGCATGACATGTGCACACCTTAGACTCTAAATATTAAATAACAAATCATAAATGATTTAAATGCTTGCCAGCGATCCATTAAAATGAAAAATAAGTTGAAGTAATGCTATAATGCAAAAAAGTGCTGGCTGTCAGCAAAGCATTTTTATTAATTTAAATGAGAGTTCAAGATGAAATAAGTATTTTTATTTGAATTCATAAATGGAATATTTTGTCTTGAAAAGTGAAAGCTGGAAAGGAAATCACTCTCTTAAGAAGGTCTTTAACTCATTAATGCCTCTGGCCTGAGTAAATTAGAGGTCTTCCTCACTTGTGAAAGAGGACAATGAACTGCTTTCCCTAGGCAGATATGTTTATCCTTGCCTTGAATATCTGTAATTTTCATGAAAGGCAGAGTCATGTATCATTTCTAAAGATCTTATATGTACACATGTATTTTGTTAATATCATGTGGTTTTAATTTTTCTTTATTCTTAAAAGGCTTTTTATAGCTTCCCCTTAATATATATAATAATGTGGGACAGATGTAATTTATTGCTTTAATCTACAGAATAGCAAAATCTTGAGTTAGATGTTTTATTCTATTGTTCTCTACATTGTTTTTTTTTTTAAAATTCTAAAGCACTAAAACTTACAGGACTTCTGTTATCCTGCCACGCAAACTAAATGTGCAGTGTCTTGTTCCTATTTAACATGTTGATTTCCATATCTATTAAAATACAGAATTTTACATGCATGATATAGAAAAATGTGCTTTTTTCTCTTCTGCTATGACTGTTTTCCTTTAAAGAAAAACAAACAAACAGAAAACTAATTCTTTGTATGGAAGAACACACAGACTGATTCAGATTTTTCGCTGATACACACAGAGTTTCACTAGCATTCATGATGTCCTGGTATCTTTTGGAAGAAGAGTGCTATGCTATCCCCTACACAGACATTTTGGATTAGTGACACGTGCCTTCAATGATACAGTCATGATACTGCAACTAGGTAAGTTTTTTAAGGATAGGAAGTGATGCCTATATAGCCGCATCATTTGTATGTCTGGGTTTTTTAATAACTTTTGAATCCTTTGGCCAGTGTCACCCAAACTTGATAGATACCACTATTTCTGGACATCTTGTGGTTTTGTGAAAATGGGGCTGGGGAGAAAAGAGAACAAAACTAGTGTCCATATGAGGAAAAAGTGCCTGTAGCAACTAATTTATTAGCCAGTGGCTAATACATGCGCTTATGGTATAAATTCAGCTGTGTTAGTCACACCAGAAAATCTACACAAGAGAAACGTTATGAATGTCTCATCCTTAGAAAAATCTTTGATCAGACCTTGCATCTTGATAAACCAGGATAGTTCAACAGTGGTTTGTAAACCTTTAGGGAAAAATGTCTTTAAAGTATTTTTCTCTCTCCTGTGTTTGTAGACATTCTTCTGTTGGAAAAGAACATTTTATTGAAGCTTTTGCTATGGTAGCTTAAATGCTATAATTTTTGTAGACCCTATTCTAAAGGTGTCTCAGTTTTTATTTCAAGGCAGGGTCACTTACTGTTACAAGTATAGCAGCAGTGCTGTTGTTTTCTGTTGTGTTCTTTAATTACCTGACTGAAACCCTGTTAAAAAATATTGGGAGGATTTCTGGTAACTTCTATTATTTGTCTCCATCTAAGGGAGTTTTTAATACATCATTGTATTCAATTGTTCCAACTGTTCTGTTTGATTAAAGTTCTGCACATCATGGTTTTGCAGTTGCAAATCTGGGCAGCTTCCCTGCATGACTTAGTATTTGGAAAAACTATTGGTTTAATTTAACTCTTGTCAATGATGTTAGGATTTTGACAGAAAGGAAGCTTACCCTAATGTTGAATTCCTGCTCTCCTTGCCAGTTTCTTTTTCTAGAAGTACATCTTCTGATGGTTTTGACTTCCTTTTTTTTTCTTTTTAAACTGAGCCAGTCCATTAATTACTTTTTTTCCCTGTTCAAAATAACTGTATTTGACATCTAGCCATCTTAATTCCTAAATTGTTCCACTCTATGTGCCACTTCAGTGTTGCCATACAGAATCACACATTTGAGGGCAAGGAGTAGTTTTGTGATTCACATTCAGTGTTACAGTTCTTTGTAGGATTAAGGGAAAATGGTTGAGAGGACTCAGTGGTAAGTCCAGTGGTAGTCTGGGAAGAACAGAAATCCTGAATTTGTGTCAGCATCAAAACTGGTTTTGCATCACTGTTCTTCTAGTACTTCCTATATAATTTTTCTCTCTTAGGAGCAGAGGCCAAAGTCTCTGACTTGAGTATGTTACCTTAGTTCTCTGCTTGTTATTAGGAAAATAATACGGTAGAGCTGTTCATAAAAAAAACAAGCAGTGAATACCATGAAAACTATTCTGTAGAAAAATAAATACTAATTTTTTAAAATATTTAATTTAAAACTTAAGAGTAAAAACTGACTACACACAACATATATGTAGCTTTGTTTTGTTTCACATTCAGGAGTGGAGCTGTCATCATCTTAATGACTGCAAATTATTCTTTCAGCAGCAACATTCTTTTTATATATTCCCTGTTTATCCCAGACAGCTTTCTCGTCACAGTACAAACTTTCAAGCCTATGGTTATTCCAGCTTTGGTTGTGTAGTTGTACGCAACCATGATTATATCTTGTGTTGTTAAAGTTACTTGCAACTTTTCTATTTATTGTGAGTTACCACTTTCAAAAAAAGCATGCAGTGTTAGATTTTTTTTTTTTAATTTTCTTTTTTTGGACAAAAGATTTGCTGAGATGCAGCACTATGGTGGTTTGTTTTCAATGCTTGTGAGCTGCAGGATTAAAAAAAAACAAACCTGCAATGGCAATATTCATTTCTACTACAGCCAAAAACTATTGATGATTCAAAATACCGTTTATGATATAACAGTCGGGTAGTGAAGTTTTCAGGGGAAGATATATGCTGTCCCTCTTTACTTACCTCCACTGGCTCATGCTGCTGTTCATAGGTGCGAAACAAAAAAAATTCTGATAACAGAACTGAAATCACACAGCACTGCTAGCCTTATAGATTTCTTTTCCTAAAGGATGGTACATGAGAGGTAAGCTATTTGTTTTTCTTTCAATGTTATGATGAATAATGGTATTGGACTGAATGGTCAGTGACCTAACAAAACATTTTCTGTAGTTTGGTAAGGGAGGCAGCATCTACAATAACTGTGTGTCAGGTTTCCTACTCCATCCTCCTACTCTGAACGTGTGGCTGCTGTTGCCTCCTCACCCTCTGCTTCCAAAACACAGTGGGCCCAGTAGTGCTTATCATCATGGTCTCTGTGTCACCCATGATGGTCTTGCTCCAGCAGCAAAGCCCCTGTCTTTCTTCTCTGGAGGAGTAATTTAGGTCTGCTAACTCATTCTCTGCTGGGATGGGAGATTGTTTTTTCAGACCTTAGTGATTTGCATAAAAATTACTGCCGTAATCTTTAAAAGAAATTAAACTTTAGTTGATGGCTAGAATGGTTTAGAAACAGTGGAAGAAGTTAAGAAAAACAGCAGGTCTGGCTGCATTCTGTGCATGTCTGTGCTGTGCTGGTTGCCTGGGAGATGGTGCAGGATGGGGCTGCCTCCGCAGAGCTGGCTCTGGATCTTCAAGACACTGAAAAGGTACGTGCAAACCTCAGGAAAAGAGAACATCCACCCGTTTGGACTGGAGTTGTTAATAGTGGAAAAGAGGACGCTAGCCCGAGCATGAGCTGTGATAATCTCCAGGTGCTGCCTGGGAAGCAGACACAAATATATTACTTCCTTTGCGTGGACATAAATCTATTGGGTTTTGCATTAGCAACTTAGCAGTGTAGTGATAAAAGCAGTGGTGATTAATTATAACTTCTGAAAGTTCTGGGGTTTGTGTATCAAATTTGTATTTACTATTATGGTGTGTGTATAATGTGAAAAGCACTAAGTTTAAGTAGGCAACTACCAAAGAATTGGGAAAGATATAAACAGATTATACATCCATTTTGTAATCAGAAGCAGGGGAGAAAAAAAAGTGCATCTATGCATTCTTAAAAGAAATAGACGTGTAGATAATGCTTGTACTGCCAAGCCACATTTGTTCATTCAAAATGTTTCTTCCTTCAAACTTCAGTGGAAGTTAAGCTATGCTTTTGAGGAATTTATGTTTGTAGAAAATAGTTAGCAAGCTATGCAGTGTGCAAAACTTAGTAGTTTTAGCTAGCACTAAATACTCTGTTACCCTCTTTGTTTACTGGAAATGATGCCTCACCAGTTTGTCACTGTATTGCAATATATGTGTCCAGAATATAGGTAAAAATGACTGTCGAGTAACAGGTAATGGATTCAATTAAACAGTACCACAAAACTATTCACTATTCATTTTCATGTAGGTGCAAGAGGACCAGTGTTTAAATTAAAGGAAGAATCAGTTTGAGTTGACTTCATCCTGATGTGAAGTTTCTTTTAGGATGCTGGGAACGGAAGCTGGAACATAGTATAATACAGTGTTTCGATAATAATAAGCACAATAAACTAGTTTATTTAAAGATAGTAGCGAATTCTTATGGGACTGAATTGTTACACCTCAAGTTATGGGACTTGACTTTAAAAATATTAGTGCTATGTTGGTGGATCACTTCCAAGGAGCAGGATACTGCATTTTTAAGATTTTAAGGATCCTTTTGTATGGTTGAAACGCTTTTTATTTTGAGTTAAGACTTCTTGCCAAAGTGTTAGTTGTAAGACAAATACATTAAGATCACTTATGCTGAGGTCCTCAGCAAATTTTTCCATATGATGTTTTACTGATCTATAATACTTAAAATACTTCAGCAAATCTGTTAAAAATTAATTGTTGTTATCTTGGATATCTATTATATTTATCCATTCTTTGGACAGGATTAAAGAAGGGAATGAAATGCAGTGGTAGGTCCAACTACAATGTTCTTTCCAACAAATTGTATATAGTATATTTGACAGTTGACTGACAAAAATTTATCAGGTGTGTTTTTTATGTAAATACATAGAACCCTTTTTCTTTTCAGTAGAATTGTAATAAGTGAGTGATGTGGGCTGGTTCTGTCAGTATTTACTGACACTGTGTTACCGTTGCGTAATCCTGATTTGGAAGTTTTTGTCTATGAGCTCATAATAAAGAGAAAACTCATTTGTGCTCTTTTCTGCCACATAAAATACAGTTTGCTCCTTTCCATACAGCAGTTAACACTAATAGATTTAAGACAGTATAATTATCCATTAAAAACAGATAGTACTGTCGCTTAGCTGAGTAAGTTATTAGCAGGACATTTTCATTTAAAAGTCTGTAAGAGTTCTTTTCTTATTTTTAAGAATGCTGTTCTTGCTTTTTAATGAAGCAGTAAAGTTCAGTTTATCTTTTTAGATAAATGCTCTTCTTGAAAATGTGGAAAACATATAGAAGTCTACAGGAAAAATAATATAAAATAGAATGATGGGACTACTAATTTCCTTTGCTTCCAAATATTCAGTATGAAAGCTGGTAGAATTTCATGATGGTGTAAAATCAGTAGGAGGTTATATCAAACAGCAGATACCGAGCAGGGGTCAAGTTGTATCCTTTTTTGAACTAATCTGTGCAAAGAGGACTGGATTTCTGAAACTGTAGAATTGAAGTTGCAGGCTGTCATCTACCAGCTGTCACAGCAATGAATTCCAGAAGAATCCAGTCATCTGCAGACGTATACTCTGACTTTTATGATTTTTGCCTTGTCTGCTCAAGCTCTCTGCTCTTTTTCCTCTGAAGTTGCAACTCATCCTCTCCCCAACAGCAGAGTAATGCTTTTTTAATGGCAGGAAAAGAAAGCCACCTTTGTCTCAGAAAAACTGTGAGTTAGTACTTAGATTTGATATCCCATCTTGCAATTATATCCCAATTTCAAGTTGGTTGTTATCCTCCTTTACCTCTAATACAGATCTTCATGCCGAAAAATAGAGAGCATTACAGTCTGTCTTAAGTCATATACTTTAATATCTTAGAAGATCGGATATTTTTGATTCTATTACAGAATTTGGAATCTTTTTATTTGTACTTTTCAATATAACTAGTTGAGGTTTTTTGAATAATCAGGAAATAGTATCTGTACATAAAAAGCAGTGTATTTATTCATCAGTCTAATGCAGAGCTGTAACTTTACATGGAAGATGTGCAAAAACTGACTTGAAAATAAATTGCTGATGTTTTCCCGAGATTATTATAAAAGTTTCTTGTGCCTGCTCTTAAACATTTATTGCTGATTTTGTAAATAGACAATTGTTCTTCAACCTTGAACTTAAAAGTGCTTGCCTTTTTAAGCTCCGTGAAGAAAATGGAATCAGTTATCCTTGGCATGACTTTGTCTCCTATTCCATGGTTTTCTTAACTCGAGTAGGCAGTGAATTCTAAAAAAATTGCACTTCTAGGGCTACAAAAGGAGCAAGCACATTTTAGGTTTGCTTTGATAGACAACCTTTCAGTGAGTTAGACTGACATAGCTGCCAAAAAAGCCCCTAGCCTGTTCATCTTTTGTCTTCATCAGTTCTTTGGTCCGGTTCACTATATGGTATCACAGATACTTGCACTGGCACTTCGCAAAGAGCTGTGGAGAAGAGGGAGGCAGAGGAGTGCAACAAAGACTACTCAAGCCAGTGTAAATAATAATACTACCGAATACCTAACCACAGCCTGAAAGTTGAGACCAGATGTCCACTGAAGACTGAAGTAGATACACCCAAAGACAGAACCTGAATTTCACATAGGCCACGTATCATCTGTGTGTTACAGAATATCCTATATTGCCTTAAATAGTGTTTGCTTTTCAGCTCTTATTTTTTATTCCCATGGTAAGGAGTTAAGTTTTGTGTAAGGACTTCTTGTTTATAAGGTGTACCTATAAGAGGCATATTCTGAAAGCAGAAGTTTGGCAGTTTGTTATGCTCTCTGGGTTTGTCTGTATGTAGAGTCCCCTATTACGTCTGGCTAGATTTACAACCTCTCTGATTAGAGGCCCATTAAGCTACTATAATACAAAACTAATTTATGAAGAAAGACTTCATACAGGCTTTAAAAAGAAAGTCACTAATTTACATTGTTATTTGGCAGATGAATAACAGTAGTCGACATTGTAACTGGTTCGGGCTGGCAGCTTGACAGCTAGAACCTTAAAAAATTAGCAAAATTTTAATTCCACATATCATTTATTTTTAAAAGATCACACTTCTTTTTAGTCAAAATAGTTAAGCTTGACAAGCTTGGCTTGACAAGCATTGATGGTGATATAATCTACAAGTTCATCAGTTACATCTGGGATTTTATGTTTTCTGTCCTGACTTTTCTTCAACTAGTCTCTTCCAAGCCAGTGTTTTTTTTCAGTTCTGTTTTTACTCTCCTCATTCTTTTTCCTTAGTGCCATCTTCTACATCCTTTAACTTTAATTCTTTGTCTATATTTTTTCAGTATGGAATTACTTAAAAACAAAAAAAAATAAATTTTGTGCTTGAACAGCAGGGGGAGTTCTGATCTCTTTTTTTTTTTCTTTTTTTTTCTTTTTTTTTTTTTTTTTAAATCTGTAAAATGTAATTTCATCCATGTTCAGGTTTCATAGCCTAGGAGGAGCCAGCCTCTTGGGAGAGGGTTATTAGATTCCATTTGCAGTAGTGGCTGTTTTCATTTGAATGGGTTTTTTTTCCCCCATTAAGCAGTGAAAATAATTTTCTTTTTTTTTTTTCTTGTGTTCCAGCACTTAACCCTTTAGCAAATTTCATCACACAACTAAGGAAGGCTATTCCAGCTAATTAGGGGTTAAATTATTAATCAGTTTTCTTCTTCACAAACAGTGGTTGCATATGAAGAAAATTAATCTGACTACAGGAACATTTCTGGTTGTGGATTGAGAAAATACTCAAGTTTTTAATCTTTTACTGCATTTATCAACTGTATGTTAAGTGGCACCTTCTTGATCCTGAAGTGAGTTTTTCTTTCTGGGGGTTCAGTTTGCCAAATTATTCTGTAACTAACAGAAGTAGGAAAAATTCTGCTTAATTGAAGGCAATGGTTAGATGTTAGGTGAGGGTATTGCTTACGTTGGCTTAAACAATTGCTGTGGCTCCTGTGTGCTTCATCCTGCTGTGGGCTCTGTGTTTCCAGCCTTATTTTCCAACACAGGGGAAAAGGTTTTCTCTTTCTTCAGATAAACAATGGGGCTTAACTTTTTATGATTTGTGAGTTTTCAGCTTGCCTTTTTTTTTTTTTTTTTTCTTAATAGGGTGCACTATATGACTGTGCTAAAGTTTGGGTTGGCACAGCTCAGAAAAGTGGAAAAACTGGGGGAGGGGGCTTCCTCAGCTGTAGAGGATTACATGCATGACTGTGCCTTGAGGCTTTAGTCTTGCAGAGAGATTCCTGCTGAATTCAGAGGCTTCGCATCCCCACGTGGATGTGGATACTGAAGGGCATAGTCACAGTTGTGCTGTTCTGAGACTATGAATCAATTTAAAGTTTCAAGATGGTTGTAGATAGCATGGTTATGAAAGCCTCAAAGGTGAGAAGATGGTAAAGATTATCTATTATCATTTCTTGTGAATTACAAAAATAAAAATCTATTTCCAGGAAAAGCCGCAGTTTTGAAGTGTCTGCTGGACATCCACAAGATTTTTATGGAGAATGACCCTGCGTACATCCTTAATGATCTCTTCATTACAGACTATTGCATCTGGATTCAAAAAACCAAGTAAGTTCTTAAGTAGTTACTGATGTGGGAAGTGTTTTTAGCATACTTCATCTATGAAGAAGTATCAGTAAGCTCAAAAGAAATGCTACCTCCTATAAATGGAAATATGATAGGTCTTTTTCATTTAGTAACCTTGGCTATCCAGCTATTCTTACTACATAAGCGAAGACATTCAGTGCACATGGTTGTGTAGTGACATCACTGGAGAAGAGAGGGAAGAATTGCATTGCAAACAAAGTGAATTTTTCTTAATATATTAATGGTTTTCTGTTTATATTAATAGTTTGTGTAGCACTTACATAACATTAGGAAAAAGGTTGGAAGCAACGAGTTCAGAATTGAATTTATATCTTCCAATAGAATTGACACCTTCCAATTCTGGTCAGATGCACATGTAAACCATCTGCATGAGACAGTTGATTTATGGACTGTAGCAGTTGTACTAATTGATTATTAACACCAGAGTAAGTGTCACACATCTCTGTGCACTGTGTACTCTTCCCCCCGTAGTTGCTTGCCAGCTCACCCTCCCTGGCAAGATGCTTTGGCATCCACTTCACTTGAGAGGAAGCAGTGACTCTGCCACTTCCAGACGAAGTCCCTACACAGCAGCACTTCTGTGTCTCATCTGTGTTCTTTCAATGGAGGCAGCATGACTTATTTCCAGTCTTGGGAACTTTACAACCAAACTGGTTAGAAATATCAGCATGATTTAATGGTTTAAAAACAAAAGCATTGGTAGGAAAACAGTGAGAAATTGATTAAATGAACAGAGAAAGCTGCATGTTTTAATCTTACTAAGCTTTATATATTGTTCTTGTCATATGTATTCTATCTTTCATACAGTTTTTGTTTTTTCTCCCTCCCTTTTTATGTCTTCACAGCCTTCTCTGAAGGCCCACAAAAGTACATGCATGAGTCGCAAGCAATATTTCTCTGAAAAGGAAGGCATTACTAATATAAACGCAAAAAATGGCATTGTCATATCTGTTAATATAGCAACATACAGACTCATAAAACAGTGGTTAAAACTAGTCTTTGCATTCCAGTTTACAATTTAACCGTGGGTGAAAAAAACTTAAGCGCACAAGATACAAGAAGCAGCAAGGGGATACAGAGGGAACTTGGTAATAATCATGATCAGAAAGGGGAATATGAAAGAGAATTGAGCCAGCTTGCATAGGCTTTATATTTAGGTGTGCTTTTACCAGTACTACTTTGAGAGTTCAAGGTCTTCAGTTCATAGCTGCTTATTACATATGGTTGATACTGTTGGTTTTCACTTCTCTGTATGCTTTCAGTGACTATGTTCCTTTAGGTGACAATACACAGAATATTCCAAAGCAACTACAGGTATTTCCAAACACTTTGATTCATCAATCCTGATTAATTACAAGAACAGCCAGTTCACTTTACACTCATTTTTGAGGAGGCCTTTTTTGGCCACACGTTAAATACAAGTATGGGGAAATTCATGTTCAGGTTGAAACTGAGTTGAAGAAGTGTGGTAAATGAAGAAGGAGAAAGTTATTTCGTGCATCTTTTACAAAGAAATAAGTCATGAGACAGTAATGTCATTACTGCCCATATCAGTGAATATAATGTCTAGCAAGTCAGTCATAAAAAACAAGTCTTTCTTTAAATACAGCAGAGGAAAATGTATGGTAGATGTAAGTGACTGATATGTTAACACATTTACTCCCAGACGCATACATTATGTACCAGTTAAGCAGAACTGACAGCTTCTGGAAAGAGGGCAATTAAGCTATCTTATTGTCATAATGACATGGCACAATAGTTGTCTGTCATTAGGAGAACAAGAGAAAGAGGAACTGCAGAAACCAGTCCTATTTTTAGGGTCTTGAATCAGGAAGACATTTAAGCATATGCTTAAGTCATTCCTGTTCAGCTTAGCAGTGAAGCATGTACTTGCAGTTAAGCGTTTGCGAAGTCAACAGGAACACTGTGGTTTTCCCCTTATGTTGAAGGGAAGAAGAGAGTTCACTTGTCATTCAGAAAATACCTTAACAGATCTAGAAATTGGTGGTGACTTGTCTGTTAAGGACAAGTGTCCCCAGCCCCCCAAGGTAAGGCATCTGGAGAGGGGGGTGGAACATCTTCCATACCAGGGGAAGAAGGTTATGACATCCCTCTGATAATTGCTTTTGTGGTGGAAGAGTTTTGGAAGGGGAAGGTATTTATAAGTATTTTTGTGCTGGTCTTTCAATTAAGTTATTTGCATGTCTGATCAGTCTGGATACTTTCTCTGTTTTGTTTCTTAGCTAATCTTTGCTCCATGCACAAGCTTCATTAGCTTTGTCTCCATTTCTCCTGTCTTTTCATAGCTGTAATCCCAGGGCATGCTCAAAGTCTGTGGGGAGTTTTTCTTCTCTTCCCCTCTTTCCCTGGTATGTAACCAAGTCCTAGTGGAGGTTGGGGCCCCTTTGTTTAAACAGTTAAAACAGACTGTATGTTATTTTTAGTGAAGAATCTGGGCACTTTAATAACAGCTGGAAGCAAGCTTTTTAGTTCACCTGTACTGGCAGGGAAAACTCTGGGAGCTGTAGGTTTAGAAAAAAAAAGTTTGGCACAGGCAAAAATGTAATGGATGTGTCAAGTGGTAGTAAGCATACAGTCCTATTCCAAATTAAGCCTCCAGGAGAGGAACACCACTGGTTCTACCTTGTAAATATTCAATGTGGAAACAAAAACCTTGTAGCCAACCATGTGTCAATAACTGATTACAAATTTGGTTTGAGATCATAGTTTGGCTCTGGCTAAATGAGATGAATAAGTGAATGTGTCACTGGGCTGGCAAAAGATGATTTATTTTAAGCACAATGTATCTAGAATTGCAAATGATTAAGCTGCTGAATAAAACACATGCAGGTGGCTAAGTCAATTGGGTATGGTGAGTAAGAGGATTTTCATTTTTTTCTTCAGAAAAATGGTATCATTCGGGTTCCTGTTACAAAGACAAAAGTAGATTCCTCGAAGTCTTAGACAGTGCAAGATCTTAGCAAGCGTAGCTAAGATTTCATCTTCCTGTTTGCAATCTTAAAGCTAGTTTTACCTGCTTTCTAGGTTTCTAGCATCTCTCTTTGAGCTGCTTGTGAAGTTACTATTAATAATTTGATCTACTGTATAAAGTGGCATGTAAAATCCTTTTAACTGTTCATTAGGTTTTGAAGAAATGGAGCATGTTGCTCAGCAAAACTTGTCAGAAAAGAGAGAAAGTAAATGTTAACCTGGATAACAAAAGCTAGACAAAGACTTACGGAGGCAGCTTGTAGTAAATCTCGGCAGGTGGTGTCAACATTTATGTTGAAAAGCCAGATGCAGCCAGATGGAAAATTGCATCTTTAACCCCTGAGGTCATAATGACATGTCATCACTTCATTTGATCCCCCTGCTAAGTGAGCTTATCATCCACCCTGCTGTCACTTCTGTTATTACTTTAATTTTCATAATAAAATTAAATTTAATTTGTCTGGTTTGCATGCTTTTATTTCTGTAGGTCAGAGCTTTTACAAACCACTATGGTACATATGGCAACCTCTCCAAGGTGAAGTTATAACTGAATTTGTATTATAAGTCTGAGCTTTCCTCCATCTTTCAAGCCTTTGAGCAGAAGGAGATAAGGGAGAAGAGAAGGAGCTTTGGGGAAATCACTGATTGTCTGATAGCTGCAATATGGGCTGCTAAGACCAGGGGAATCCAGGTGTGGGTTTGTTGCAGGAAGGCTTTTTCCCTTTTGCTGGAGAGGAGTTAGGTGTCTGTGACCCCCTGGGAGTTGTGTCCTTTATAGAAGTCAGAGTAATTTACCCACTGACTCTTGCTGTGCTGAGGTTCCTTTGTGCAGCCTGATGGCTTTCTCCACTGTTTTGTATTCCCCTTCGTGCCAGTCTTGCATTGCTTTTTGTTGTCCACTGTTGTACGTATGTGCTTTCGGGTAGTTAGTTCAGCCAAGTGATGCCTGCTGGCCATGAGAGGCTTGGTGGAAGGCTGAACGACTTCCTATGAGTCCTTGAGCAGGCAGGCAGTTAAGTGCATACTGTTCTGCATCCCTACCTAAGAGAACAACTGAGGCCATGTCGATTTAAAATATTTTTGCCTAATGTTTAAATACATGTTTAGTTTTAAACATGTACTGCTTTAGTATCAGTAAATATATATTTTCTGTGTTGCTGAATTGGAGGTGAAGCTGTTAATATTCCTGGCAGTTTTCCAAGGGTTAGTATATTTATTTATGTGCAGTTGTATACTTCTCAAAGTTTTATGGGCATGAGGAATGCAGGAGAATAAGGTATTTGTTCCCATGTAATTTGTATTATATTTTTAATTATCACTATTTTTCTACTTTTTACTTAGCATCTCACCTTTTACTCATGATCTGTTTTATTGCCAAAACTTCTAAAGCTGTTATTTGTATTGTGTATTGCAGTAACTTCAACTCGCACAGTAAAGAAGATCTGTATGTTAAGAGAGATGAGCTGTTAAATTGCCTCAGTGTGTCCTGTGGAACTGTATCTGCAACTTGATTTGTTATACTGGTATATAGGTTGCTGTAATATATGTGTGCTCTGTAGTTGCACCTTCACGTATATGTCCTCCGCAACCCAAGACAAGTGTAATCTTGCTAATTTTGGTGTCTGTAGGTGTAACATGCCGGTTAAAGTGAAAACCAGGATTCCTGGTGGCATTTGTACAGTCTCTGTAGAAGCAGCTATCTTTATTGGAACTAACTAAATTAAAGCCAAGTCAGATATCCGTAAGCATGTTATATTTGCTTTTCTTGATTTGCAGGTGAGTAACACCCTAAAAGATAGGCTAGCTTCATAAGTCTGTTTTCCTTTTCATCTCACTGTTATAATCGAAACCTTGTCCTTGTTACAACATAATTACCTAGTCTGAAGCCAGCAGGGAGTTGCTGCTTTATGTGTAGGGTGTGAAGTTCTCTAAATAAATGTAGGATTAATTCATTCACAGCATGTCATTGA